TCCTCCTCCTCCTCCTCCTCCTCCTCCTCCTCCTCCTCCTAATCTCTCCTACCTTCGGAACGGCCACACAGTGTAATTCGCTGCGTTCAACCTGATGACTGGAGAGAGATGCGTAAGCGACGAGGAAAACAGGAGAAGAATGACAGGAGGACGAGGGCGAGGAGGAGGACGAGGGCGAGGACGAGAAGCAGAAGGAGGAGGAGGATCAGGAGGACGAGGACGAGAAGGAGGACGAGAAGGAGGACGAGGACGAGGGCGAGGACGAGAAGGAGGACGAGGAGCAGGAGGAAGAAGAAGAGGAGCAGGAGCAGGAGCAGGAGCAGGAGCAGGAGCAGGAGCAGGAGCAGGAGCAGGAGCAGGAGCAGGAGGAGGGAGAGACAGAGGGAGGAGCAGAGCTTGCCATCGGTGGTCAGATCGTAGGCGCGTTGACTTCTCTCGTCCATGGCCAAGATGGCCCGGAAGTAGCTCATGGTGTCTCGGACTGACAAGGCGAGGAAAGAGATTCAAGAGAGGAGGTGAGAGGGAGACGAGGAGGGAAGAGAAGAATGGAGGAAGCGGGGGGTGCAGGGCAGGCGAAAGAAGGAGCAGGAGAGTTTGGGGATTGAAGAGCTGGGGGTGATAGGCAGGAAGGAGAAGGACGACAATATTGGGCGAGGATACGACGAGCTAGGGAAGGAGACTGTAGGTAGACGAACGGAGTGGAAGAGGAGAGGAGCACAGGGAGAGGCTGGTAGAGGAAGTCTGCACTTACATTCTTTGGAGTAGTTGATGGAGACGATCGGATTCGGCCCATCATCCTGCCCTCCAACTTTATCCTACCGCCATGCTCGTTCCACCAAGCGTTTCACCTGCTCCATCGGTACCACATCCCGCCATTCCGGTCGTTCACTGTAGGAGTATCCGTCCATCTCCTGGGCAAGGTCAACTGCCGGAGGGCACAGAGCATGCAAGCAATGTGAATCTTCCTCCCCCCTTTCTCCCGCCTTCCTGCACCTCATCCCTGCATGCTCTACCCGCCTCCGTTCCTGCCTCCCTTCCTGCCTCCCTTCCTGCCTACCAACTAACACGCACATACCGAACCTGTCCCTCGGGTCTTCTTTGACTGTCATCGTCTTCTCATCCCCTTCCTCCCCTCTCTTCTCCCCCCTCTCCTCCTCGCCCATCCCATCTCTGCCATTTTTTTGTCCATTCACTCCTTCTCATCCCCCTCATTCTCTGTGAATTCCGTTAATGCCGCAACAGCTGTCTCAACGGTCACTGAGCGGCTCACAGAGTCACATGCTGGCCGCGGGCCCGGGTGAGTGCACTGGCAGGATTGAACTGAGCTCAAGGTTACCAGTACCGGCAGCGGTACCCGATGGCCCATCCCGGGCCCGGCACGAACTTCCGGGAAGCGCCCGGCGGCCACGGCGCGCGGCCACCGCCGCCGCCGCCGCGCGCGGCGGCGCCGGGCGGCCCGGCCCCGAACAAATGCGCCGCTGATGTCAGACTGCCGCCGTGCAAACTTATTTGCCTGAGCCTGGCAACTTGGCGAGTCCCCTGGGGGGGCACGCCTGAAAACCTTCAAGTGACTGCTGCTGCTGCTTCATTTCCAGTTAGAGTTGGGACATTCATATAGGAGTGAGCGCGGTGAGCCAGGTTCACTGTCATGGCAGCTTTACCCAAACAATCAAATACATGCGATACACAGTCTAGTTGCAAGTTGTTACACAGACAGCGCGCAGTCGCTTTATTGCGAGACGCCGTTGCAATGATTGACAATCTTCTTCTTGATCTCCTTGATCACGGTGATCTCCTTCTGATATGGTTGGATCTGTGACAACAGAAAGATGAGATACAGTTTTCACTTTCAAAGACACCATCTCACCTCAAGATTGTACGCCGAGGTCTCCTCCTCGTAGTTCTTCTTGGCGATCTTCAGCTGCCCTGCAACCTTCTCTCTTGCTAGGGATTGGGTGAGCTTTTCAGACTTTGCCTTGTCTTGGGCATTCGCCAGGGAGACCAGTTGCTTCTCCCAGTGCACCTGCAAGGCTCGCGTAAGAAAGCAGATGCAAGCTGCATGTCGGACGCGCCCTACCATCTTTTCATTGGTTGACTTGACCAGATCACTCTCCTGATTGTACACGGTTTCCAAGTTCTTAAGGCGGTTGTCGATCTCCTGCAGCAGGGTGAGGAAACCATTCTCGTTGGGACAACGTCACATTCTTACGTCAAGGATCTCCTGCAAGATCTTGGCGACTTCGGAGCTCTGGCTGCCCAAGTCGCTGTTGGCCAACGTCTCCAATCGAGCTTTGCCGACAGTCTGCTGAGCCAGCACAGAGTTCTGCAGCCGGTTGATTTTTGCCTTGAGAAAAGCTTGCTTCCTCGACTGCAACCTTCACGCAGATGTTAAGACAGGAATCTGCACCAAGAGCTGAGAACTTACGAGCTGGAATCAAACGCCATCTGTTGACTTGGAGATGATCCCGACGAGCCAGAGGAGGAGGAGGAGGAGGAGGAGGAGGAGGAGGAGGAGGAGGAAGAGGAGGAGGAAGAAGAGGCACCAAGTCCATTGGACACTACGCCAACCATCTTCATGATCTCAAGGATCAATTCCTTCTCAGATTCGAGGCTGGCCTTGTCAACTGCATTGTTCTTGGTGGTCTTTTCCAAGTCTGAGGAAGCCTGCTTGTGTGCTGTTTGCCACTTGTCATACTCCTGTCTCGCAAACTTGGCTCCTTCCTTGGCCTCTTTCTCCTTCTGCTCGGTCAGGCGATACTTGGACTCGGTATCCAGCCACTTGGACTTGATTGCCTCATATTCCTGCTGTGTCTGGGAAATGGTCTTGTTGACTTGAGTCTCCTCAACAATGAGCTTCTTCAGGAGCTGATCAAATTTGGAGATGATAATGTCCGCCTTCTTGCACAGCTGCGAGTCCGATGCCAACTGGCTGCCCATCCAGCCCTGGTGGTTAGCGAGGGACAGCATCTGCGTCCTTGCCCTGTCGCTGTCGACGTCCAAGAGAGTGTCAGGCCTGTCGTGCCAGTCGTCCAGTTTCTTCAGCATGGAGGAGACCGGCATCGATGCTCCCTTCTTGGCAAACTCCAATGCCAGGCTGTCCAACTTGGACATAGGGGATCCTGCCAAGAGCTCCTTGCGCTGGTCTGCAGGAGCAAACAGCGCCAGAGACGCAACCATGGCAAGGAGGATGGATCCGACAACCAGCAGAGGTCGGAAGCGACCCGAGGAGGAGGAGGAGGAGGAGGCAGGAGCGACCGACTCGTACGAGGGAAGCGCCATGCCGCACGACGATACCCGAAATAGAGCAGGACCTCCTCGACGAGGGCGCCGGATGATCCCAGATGAATGGGGGGGTTCTGATGACCCTCACGAAGTTTTCTTGAGGGTGGGGGTGACAGAAATACCCTCATTTTATCACTTATAATGAGGGGTAGTAAGGGAAATAGAAGGGGTCACCAGAAAGATGTCAACCTTACAAGGTAGGGGTAGAAATCTTGTTTCTATAACGGGGTGAAGATTTTGAGGGGGTAGGGGTACCACGGGTGCTTCCTTGACCCCTACATAGCAGAAGAAAGGCTGGGGAGTACTGTGCCGCCCGTGGGTTGGTAAGAGGGGTGGGGGGTACTGAAAGGAGGGGCTCATAGAACAGTTGAAATGCCACCGGGGTGGGGGTCCCCGACGGAGAATAGAATCACACTGGCAGGCCCGGCCCCGCGGCCGCCCCGGCGGACTCTGGGCCGGGCCCGGCCGGGCGATCGGCGGATCATGCGGGATGACTCGCGGCCTGCGCAGCCACTGCTGAGCCGAGGCGGATGCGGAGAGTGGCGGGCGGAGGTCCTGCGAGCAGTACGGTGTACGGGAGGGCTTGGAAAGCTCAGGCTGGGATCACCCTGAGGCTCCGGGCCCGCTTCGACTGAGGTTCAGACTTAAGTTTCACAAAGGCACTCTCATACACAGCAGACTTAACTACAGGCTAGAATGTGGGCTTATCATGACGGTGAAGCTACCATGGGGACAGGGTTGGCGCCAACCTTGGTAAGCGCCTCCCCCGAGCGCAGCCACGGCATCGTCATCTCCTCCTCGTACTGTATGTGCCCCACCATATAGTCGTTGAGGCGTTCTAGAGCGTCGACGACCTGGCCCATCTCCTTGGTGTTGAGAACCATCTCTTCTCCTGCCCTGTTCCTCTCATGCAGCTGCTGCAACAAGCGCCCGACACGAGCATTCAGCGCCTCCACTCCCTTGTGCCTCGTTGGATCTAGTACACTGTCCACAGCCTCCGCACTCTGGGGGAAAAGCGCCTTGACGAGGGGAAACAGCATCTGGTCCTCAACCCTCTCGTGATCCTCCAGGAATTCCATGTATTGGTCAAACCTCCCTCGCAGCGTCTCCACTCCGATGCTCTCCGCCTGAGCCGCAGAGTTCGCCATCTCCAGCAACGTGTTGAGCTCCTCCCGCACCACATCATGCTGCTTGAGCCAGAACTGAATGAGCCGTTCCTGCTGCTCCTTGTGCAGCTGGATCCCTTGCTCGATCTGGTTCAGCATATCCATCACAACCTGCTTGTCTTCGCTGGTTACCAACACAGCCCTGGGAGAAGCGTCTGTGTCCTTGCTGCAGCTTCCAAGAGGCGCGGCAGGCACGTAACCGTCCGGCATGGCTGCTCGTCCTGGTGAAGGAGACTTGCCGAGTTTCTGAGCCAGGGCTCCTTGCACTTGATCCTTGAGCCGGTCCACATGCTGCTTCGCGTTCCGAGCCTGCAGGATCTTCCCAAGCTGCTGCTGCAAGATTGCCTCCTCGCCGATGGGAGCATCCCCCACGGCCTTGACGGCATCGATGGCGTGTCCGATACATTGCTCGCACTGCATGCTGAGGGACGACAACTGTGAGCACAGAGCATCGAGCGTGTTTGGCGTCTCCTGCTTGATCCGAATGCCCGAGAAGAGCTCTTCTGCATGGGACTGGAGGCGGAGGGTGAAGGACTCCATCTGGCCAACAAACAGCTTGCACTGCATCAGCCGCTCAAGCGAAGCCACTTTGCGGCGAATGATCTCCTGCTGCCTCTCCAGCTCGAAGAAGAGGATGATACTGGTGGCAGTGGCCCCTTCGACGGGGGGGCGACAGCCTTGGTGGATGGTGATGGAGGCATGTCCTTCGGAACGAGCAGACATCAATGGATGGGGCTCAGACACCAGGAACGACAGCCACGGGTCGTTGCTCCTGGAGAGATGTAGCACAGACATGGCCACCCACTCCGGCATTGTCACCGGGATATGCACAACTGGTTGCTGCCCGCTGTCAGTCGAGGTGCCATCCAGCCATTCGTGGAAGCAGATTGAGTCGATATGATCGGCAAGAACCGCCTGCAAGGTCAAGTCAGCCCCACTCTCCATGTGCTCTGCAGCGGTTGGCGGGTACCCGAACAAACGAGTCATCAGTCTTGGAGCAGAATCTTCCCCTCTGCCTGAAATAATTCTGCAGACGAAATAAGTCAACAGAACTTTCACACGGTCGAGAGTACACCTGAAGGTGGTTCGGATAATAAAAGGAGATTTCCGTTGAATTCCCACCAATCTTATCGTAACAGCACACAACAGTCGCCGCATCATCCTGGAGATCGACAGGTAAGCTGAATATCTTGAGGGTTGCTTCATCATAGACTACCTGGTCACCACTCGAAACATTTTTGCTCATCCATGAAACGATGAGCGACGACGTCAAACTTTCAGGGAAGACGTTCTGCAAAGCTTGCTGCCACGCGACCGAATCTCTTTCGCAACTGGCGAGCGATTGAGTCAGAGGTCTGTGAGCATCGAACACTGGAGCATACAGTTCACTTAGAGTCGCAAGCTTCAGTTTCATTGGCGAGTCGGACGCGGTTGCACCTTCATGGTTCAGTCCCACGATGATGATCCGAAGCCTTTCCGAACTTTCATCGTAAGTCTTTGCTTCTGCCCAACGACAGACTGTCAAGCGAAGCCGATTACACCAAGGAACTTGTCAACCTTTGTAGTTCAGGGTCGATGGCTCACAGCAGCCTCCTGATTCTGCAATGCTGACGCTGAAGGTGAAAGAAGACTCCGAGCCCGAGTTGCTGAGCGAGTTGCTTCTGCTCCGGACCAACTCAGGGTTCCGCTCGGAGTCCGAGACACTAAGATGGATCAGAAGAGTGAAGGCAAGTGCAAACTGTCTCACCTCTTGTCGTCCGAAAACTTGAAAGATGAGCTGGAAAGCAACCGTGATGTCAGTAACAAGAGCGTTCATTGGAACAACCGCCAACCTTGAGTTTGAAATCAATCCACTGGGTGTAGAAAGAAAGGAGCAGTTCCTCAGGAAATCGTCTGATATCACCTCGAATGAAACCTGCCGAGCAGTGAATAGAAGAACTTCATAGACATCTGTCAGCTTACGGAATCTTCTGCTAGCTCGAGCCCCTGGGTGAAAGAGACGATCGTGATGATGTCTTTCTTCAGAGACGACATCACGTCGTCATCCACTCTGTGCGACAAGATGATTCGGATCCTCTCATGAGTTTCCGGCGTTCTCATATATTCCAGCCTGCACAGCATTTGTTTGAAATCCTGGAGACATTCCTTGGTTGGAAATGTCCCTGAATCGATTCGCCGATGAAGTAGTCGCTTGAGGTGTAGCAGTTTTGCACTCAACGACCCACGATCGCAAGAAGCAAGGTTACCCTGGAAGCCGAGCAGCATGTCTCTGCTCTTGGGAACTTTCCCTACACTTTCAGGGCGCGAGTAGAGGCCGGAGAATCTCCCTCCCAACGTGGACCGCATGCTGGGTTGCTCGAAGTGTGGCGAATGGGCCTGTTCATGAGCGTGCAAGTTGAAGGTCAACTCGTCCAGCCTCCGACTGAGACTCGCGTTCTCCTGCTTCAGCATCGACAGCTGCATCTGACGGAACTCCTCCGTGTCCACGGCGCTCGTTGCATCTGCAGCGTCTGGGCCAGACATCCTTGCTATCCTGCGCGATAAAACATTCAGACTGAGAACCCAGAGACTACCACCCTTCTCCTCGTCCTCGTCCTCGTCCTCGTCCTCCTCAATGTGCTAGATTTTCTATCGAGATCTTTCCACTTGCTTCTATGCTACATACATTAATCTGTTCCGACCTCAAATAATGTTCGAGATCAGAAAGTGCGGTTGGCCTCTACCTCTGCTTCTTGACTCAATTCGAGGTACAGCTGCTGTCAGAACATCATCCCCAAGGACAGCGCTGCTTGATCGCTCGAAGATCAATGTCTGGAGCTTCAGCAGCAGAGCCTCTCTCATACCTTATCCAAATTCTCACCATTCTCACCCACCTCCAACACTATCAAAATTGTGATACATTCTTGAAATCTCATCAGCTTTGGTCCGACACATCATTAAAATAAGCCCGCTGATACAATACGTATCCATTCTTAATCATTATTGGTCAACGTTTCCCGCCGTGCCTGCTCCTGCCCCTGCCCCTGCCTCCCTGTTTGTTTTTTGCCATTTGCCGCCTTCTCTTCCGTCCATGTGTCCAACTGATCCTTCCTCCTGCCTAGAACATCCTCCTCTGATTTTTTCTCTGTGCCCTATTGCTGCTGCTGCTGCTCCCGCTCCCGCTTCTCCTCCTCCTCCTCCTCTGCCCTCGCAGTTCCCTCCTTGCGTGCCATTAGAACACTCCTACTGCAGCGTTACTTCCTCGCGGCGGGGGTCCTGCAATCCCTGATGATTGGACCAACTGAACTAGACCCCAAACTTTACACCTAGAGAACCTACTAAAAACTATCACTTTATATTTTTTTATATCAAAATTTAGTTTATATCTCTACTGCCTTGGTGATTGGGGACCCAGACACGAAATTAAGCTGGAGTGTGCATAGCCCCCCTATCAAGGTTGTATGGCATATAGGGCTTCATAGGACTCAAGCTATAGTAAACTTGGTACATCATAGTGGACCTGCTAGAGACCTTCTATGTCTACCCGTCCTAGAAAATAAGGTGTATCGCCTAGCAAGAAGATATGACCAAAGGACATAGGAATTTCATAGGGGATACGAAACAATGTCCTATCACAGCTCGCACCCAATAGCCCTCATCCCCCTTGTTCCCAAGGGCGAAAGATGAAAGAATAATATGGAGGAGGAGGAGGAGGAGGAGGAGGAGGAGGAGGTGAGGTAGGAGGAGGGAGCCGACGAGCGTAAGAAGTAGCAAGGAGAGGGTTGAGATCCAGAATCGGGACGAGATGGGACAAAATTGAGACGATGAGGCGCAGGATCTTGGAACAGGATGTAAGCAACGAGGAATGGAAGATGGAGGAAGGAGGAGGCAGATGATTTCGGTTGGAGAGAATGGGAGAGCTGAATGTAGATAAGTGCGTGAGGAGAATCGGGATGTTGAATGCTGCGACCGAGGGTGAACACTTGATACATAGTAGAAGAAGGTGAGAGGGCAGGAGCGGTACGATGAAAGAGAGGATCATATGCAAGGAGTTCCAAGAAAGGAGCTGAGGACGGAGGAGAGCACAGAGATAGACATGGAGGAGGCAGCATCCCTTTGATCGAAGGCAGGATAGAAGACATAGAGGGTCGACGAGACAACAGTGAGTGTGCCAGCCGCGGAAAGATTTTGCAATGTAGCGGCGATATAGTGGGAGAACTAGGACATCTATGATGAGTGTTGGTGAATTTTATATCATTTACCTTCTCTTCGTTCTTTCTCTTTGTCTTCAAGGTTTCTCGGGCGCATTAGATGAAATCTTGGTTGATACTTGCCAGTGCGCTGGTGTGTTGTTCGGATGTAAGGTATGCTGGGGCGCGCTATGCTCTGTCTTCCTCCTCACCCTCCGGCACAGAGGTTTTGTTGTGAATCCTAGCCGCTTTCCTTCCATCAACTCCAGGTTGCACTTCGAGATCAATCCACCCCTTCGATCTCGCGTCACCTTGCCCCAGGACCCGGCTGTGCCCGGAGCATTGTGCGAGCGGGGTGAAACTGTACAAGATGAGGTGATGTGATGAGAAGCCCGGAGCTCTTGTTGGGTTGATGGCATGCACAGGCATCATACGAGGAAGAACACTCGACCGATCGTCGCTCAGACGTCCAAGGGAGACATGCAGAACGAGCTTACAGTCGCTGAGATGTAGCCCATGATACCTCTATCCGTCTCCTGCTGACTTCGCCTCCCGCAGCCAAGAGAAGCTCGTCACCTTCTCCAAGATACGTCAGACGCTCATGGCCTTTGTGGCGGCAACAGGAGCGGGAATCCTTGCTTTCGGGATTGAGCAGGTGGTGACGCGGAGGAAGGAGAGGGAAGTGACGATTACTGCAGGGTGGGACTTACCTGATCCTGGAGACATTGAAGCGATCGTTGGGGATAGGTGTGCCGTCTCGCCCTCAACTGCTCGCGACTGACTTCTTCCCGCAGCGACCTTCGTCGATCTTATCGACTTCCTGGTGAGGACAAGGACAGGACTGTGTCGCCACCTTTGACTTGCAGCAGACGAAATGGGCGGCAGCGTCCAACTTTACTGGAGTCCTGGTGACAGCGGTGGCAGCCACGGTCTTGCAGGTCGCCGTTGACGCTAAGGTGTGAAGTCAGTGACTTGTCCAGTAGATCTTGCCGATCTTCAACGGCATCCTGCTATCCATGGGAATCGGTAAACTACCACCCCCTAGCCCTCTCTTGTCTCAGCCTGCCTCCAGGTTGCATGTGGGGAGCAGTCAAAGGTGTGGCGATCGCTTCCTTCGCCGCAACAACCTCAGCTGTCATCTGGTGCTCCCTCCCAGCTTGTTCCTTGCTCCACTGAGCCCGCCTCCAGCCTGCTGATCTCAAGATACGGTCTGCGCGAGATGATCGCCGGGAAGGAGCCTGCCCTGCTGGTACGTGCCAGCTCCTCCTCTGCAGCCGCCTGCCAGTCTCACGCGACTTTCAGACTGCTGTCGGAGAGAGCATCGGGGCATCTAACCAGAAGTCCCTGCTCGTCGTGTCCCTCTTCCGCCTGAGGTCAGCCTGTCGTTCCCAGCTTCTGCCCTACTCAGACGCCTGCTGCCCTTCAGCCCTGTCATCCCATACTGCTGGTCAAACTACCTCCTCGGCCTCACCAAGGTCAGCACAATCCTGCAGCTGTTTCTCAGCAGGAGATGCTGAAGTGAGGCAGGTGAGGCTCATCCCCTACATCCTCGGTACGATGCTCGGGACTCTGCCCGCGCTGTCTGTGTTTGTAAGTCCGCTGCCGACCCTCTCCTCCTCCCTCACCATCCCCTCAAGGTTTCGGCCGGCATGGTTGGCAAGAAGATGTCAGAGGGTACCGCGTCTGCTCCGCCAGGTCTGTTGATGTTGATGTTGATGTTGATGCCGGTGCCAGTGGTCAAGACCATGGGGGATGGAGATGATGAAGATGAAGATGGATATGACAAAGATGATGATAACGCAATCTTTATGAGACGAGATTATGATGATTGAGATGTTGATGATGATGTTGGAGGAGGACGTGATGATGTTGGAGACGATGCGGATGCTAGTGTTGTTGATGAGGTGGAAGTGATGGAGACGGAGATGATGATGCTGGTGTTGTTGTTGATGTTTCATCTAGAGCTTGTCCTTCTCGGCATCTTGGCTACCGTCGGAGTTCTTTCAATCATCGGCAAGATCTCCCAACAGGTCCCTTGCCTCCCTCCTTGCTCACTTGCTGACCATCGTTGCAGGAACTAGCAAAGATTGCTTCCAAGGAGAAGGGCGACATGGACATGTAACATGTAACAACGATCTGAGGTTAGAGACGCTTCTTACAATAAAGACTGGTGCGAGTGGGGGAAGGCAAAGCTTCAAGACTCTTGACAACAATTCAAGTTCATTATCATAGTTGACACCGGCATTCTTCCAGATATGCCGCAAGTTTGACATGCCTGTAATGGTCAAGCATGTGTTAAAGAAGGGAGGAAACAGCCTTCCTGCCTGCTCTATCCCTCAAGCTCGCATGCCTCAGGCCTATCGATCGAACGCTCATCGTGCGTTGCACATAGCGGAATTAAAAGCATGAAGGGTGTCGTCACTGGCATTTTGAGCTCTACAAGAGACAAGAGATCGAAGGAAACGCATCTCCTCGTCCTACAACTACTTTGCCTCCCTCCCTCTCTCCCTCCCTCTCTCCCTCCCCCTCTCCCTCCCCCTCCCCCTCTCCCTCTCCCTCCCCCTCTCCCTCTCCCTCTCCCTCTCCCTCTCCCTCTCCCTCTCCCTCTCCCTCTCCCTCTCCCTCTCCACTCACCGACATTGCCGGATTCGCACGTGAGCTACAAGCGACACTGGCTCAATTTTTACTCAAAGTTAAGTTATATTGTAACGAGGGACATTTGGCCCGAGAGGACCCAAACTTAACTGAAATCTTCACTTAACTGCAGGCCCAGTACGAGGATCGGACCAGCCTCAGTCACGGTCCGAGACGGTGAGCCCGGCGGCCCGCCGGGTGGCACTCAGTTCAGCGAGCTCATGATGATGATCCGCAAGCTACCAGAGACTCTTGAACCGCGGCGTCCCGGCGTCACCGTCACGTGAAGAGCAAACCGGCGAGCCTCGGAGGCCGGCGGCCCGAGTCGGAGCCCGGGAAGCCGGAGGCTAGTAGTCGGAGTGGGCCGTGAGGATTTCAAGTTCAATTCATTCAATTGAATAATAAGTTAGAGTTACTAAGTAAAGGCCGCGATCGCCGGTAGCACCGGGCCCGCCCCCCTCCGCTCGGTCGCCGGCGGGCCGGGCCGGGTTAAGGAGGCGCGTTGCGGCACTCACATGATCGAGCCCGAAGTTCACTGATGGTAGTAAAATCCCGGCGGCGACCCATTGGCTTCGCTCATGATGACAAGTGGGCTGATCTGTCCAGAGCTCAAGTCCGAAAGGCCCCGAGCTTGTAGCAGGGCCGGCGCCCTCTGAGTCAAGTCGCTGATCCTGCTCTCTACGACCTGCAGCTTTCTGTTCATGGCGGTGATGAGCTTCGAGTTCTCGATCTTGATGAACTCGCCCACAGCCTTGATGAGCTTGTTGGCATCCTGCTGAGAGGAGGAGGAGGTGGCCGTGGAGGGCGGCCTCTCCTCAACCTTGGAGGCACCTGAGAGTCGCGGGGCTACCCCAGAGCTGGACAGGCTCTGCATGAGCAGGGAGTTCCTGGCGGAGCGGAGCAACTGAGAGACGTTCATGTTGGCTCGTCGTCGGCTCATCAACCTCTTGGCCATGTAGAACCATCGGACCGTGGACGTGCTCAAGTCCGCCTGCTCCTTCTCTACGAAGGCCTTGCAGGAGCGCGAGAGGTCTGAGAACTCCTCGAAGAGATCGCTGGGAAACTCGCTGAGCACATCGAAGAAAGTGTCTGCGAAGATGACGATGCAGACGACGGAGCTGGTGGAGACGTACTCACACTCCATGCCATGCTCTCCTCTCCATCGAGGGTCTCCGACCAGGCAAGACTCTCCGAAGCAGTCCGTCTCGTTGAGCACGGCGACGGTGCTGCCATTCTGAAGAAGAACTCGGACGCAGCCCTTGCGGATGATGTAGACGCGGTCACAGACTTGATCCATGGTGGCGATGGGAACGTTCGCGTCGAAGGTTTCAACCAGAGACTCCTCGAACATCCGGACCAGCAGCCGGTCCTTCAGGGGATGAACTACCGCCTTGAAGAGAGCGATCGAGCCAAGGTAGTCCTTGAACATGTTGAGGTAGATCGGCGATCTCAGCTGGCGGGGAATGTGGCTGATCATGCCGAGCTGCCTGTTCCGCTCCTGCTGGACTGCGTAGTCCAAGTCCAGCCAGCTGATGATCTTCGTCCTCATGGAGTGTGGGACGTGTGCCCCCCTCAGGAAGTCCCTGACCTCTCGCCGCGCGTCCTCGCACTCGCGCTTGAGCTGCGAGGCCTTCAGGTGCATCGTCTGCACCTCCGACAACATCGTGCCGAACACCATGACGCCAACAAACATGCTGCCGATGGTGTACAGGCGCTCGTAGGTGTTCTGCGGCGTGATCTCCCCGAAGCCAACAGTAGCAAAGATGGTGTTGGTGAAGTATATCATCACGACGTAGCTTCCGAAGGGGCTGCCATCGCAGGGCAGCGATCGGCTTGTCAAGAACTCGCACACTTGCTCTTCAGTCGACGACAGTTGCTTGACTAGCCAGAAGAGACACGACGTCGTATGGACCACCAGGAAAACGTAGACAATCATCTGCAGCGTCCGCAAGACGTATCCTGGCAACCTGATCTTCTCTTCAGCCCACTCCATGAAGGTCCTGGCTGCGCCGATCTTGAGTAGCCTTGAAAGTCGGAGGAGTCGGAAGGGCTTCACGAGCCTGAGCAATTGAAGATTCCCAAGGTGCTGATTGCTATTCGCTGTTTCTTCCGTGCATCCCGCGACGACGATGTACTCCATGAGCGAGGTCGGGATGGACGTTACCGCATCAAAGAGGAAGGAACCCTTGAGGTAGTTCCACCAGCTCGACCGCAAGGACTCCTCATACACGCCGTCGACCATCGTTCCCGAGCAGAAGGAGATCAGCAGCTGGAAGACGAAGAAAATGTCGACGAACACGTCGAACTTGATGGTGGGTAGAGAGGAACAAGGCGGAGTGTTCCAGTAAAAGCAAACTTCGAACTGTATCACGATGGCGGTGTACAGGAGCAGCAAGGCGCCTATCAAGGCTACTATCTTGGCAAAGGCAGATTCAGGGTGAACCAGCCAGGCCTGCGTGGCTTTCGGGCCGCCGAAGAATCTCGCGAAGAACGTCTTGTTCTTTCCTGCGTTGTCGTACAAGCTCTGGAAGTGAAGGTGCCCGCCCGAGCGTCTCGCTACCTGCAGCGACGGGTCTGGAAAGTTGGGTCGGAATCCTGAGATGTCGAAGGGGGAGCGAGCGGCTGAGTTCGTCCTCCCTAGGGGAGAAGCTACCTCCCCTTCCTCGGGAACTCCGATCACCAGCTCTCCCACCAAGTTGAAATCCTTCCAAGACGTACTCTTCTGCATTCTCAGTCGCGGAGATGGCGGTTGTCCGGAGTTGTGCGCACGAGAGCCCTTCGGTCGTAGAAGGGGAAGAGGTGAAAAGAGAGGAGGTGGTAAGGGGAGGAGGAGTGAAAGGCAGGAAAAGGTAAGCGGAGGAGGACGTAGGCAAGGGCAGAAGAAAGGGAGGAGGATGAAAGAGAGGAGGAGGTAAGAGAGGAGGAGGTAAGAGAGGAGGAGGTAAGAGAGGAGGAGCCAAGGGAGAGGAGGCGGGAGGGGGGGAGGAGACGGAGAGCGGAGACCAAGGCCGAACTGAAAGCGAGGTTTGAAAGCGCGAATTTCAACTGTTGAGACATCAATATTTGAAGTTGGTGTACCCTTCCAGAAAATCTACAAAGATATCTTTATTTCTGTAATCAGATGAGTACCCCTGAAAAATCCTGCCTGCTCCTCGTATGTTACCGGTACAGATTACTTCTGCTTTTGAACACCCTATTTTCAACTGAAAATTGTAGGTAGGGTAGTCGGAACTTCATTTTGTCGTCGGGGGTATTTCGATTCAAATAATTTCCCGATTGTATGGCCCCGCTTGCACATTCTGTACTTGAAATCCCGAGGCGGACCGGGCCTCCTCACTTGAGTGAAATAGAAACAAAAACGTCATTCTTGAGGGAACGGGCAGCGGGGAATGCGAGGAAGGGAAAGAGGAGGAGGAGGAGGAGGAGGAGGAGGAGGCGGGGGGGGGGGGGGGAGGAGCTGATAGTAGGATATCGTATGGATCCAGCTGAGCTGAGCTGAGCTGAGGAAACTGAAAAAACAGCCCACCTTCAGCATGCCGCGTACTCTGGAGGAGATACGAGCAGCAGCAAAAGCTGGCAAGGAGCAAGGGGCGTCGGGCAGGCCGAAGGATCCCGAGCCATCATCGAAGCCAAGCAAAGGCACCAAGCCGAGCACGAATGGCAGCACCGCGCTCGTCGTCTCATCGTCGGGGAACGGGGCAGCCAAGTATCCGGGCCGCATGAAAGCGTCAGAGGCAGCGTCGCAATGGACTGAGTCCAGAGCGCTAGTCCCTTCCAAGGGCAAAGACCTGACGCCCATGCAGACACCCAAGGTCTGTGAGCTCCCATGAGCTGACGACGAGCTAATGTCTTTCAGGCTGTCCCGAAGACTTCTTGGAAGCGAACTGATGTGGAGGACGACGGAAGTCAGAGACTTGACTTAGTGTCGCAAACAAACAGCCTCGGCATGCCCAAGTTCTCGTCGGGTAAGAACGTGAGCAGCTTCTCAGCGTTCGCCGAACAAGAAGACGGAAGCAGCAGCCGAGCATCTACACCAGAGACGCTGCCGGTGCCTTATCGCTTACGCTCTTCCTCGCCTTGTCTCTTTGACTCTCTGGCGTCTCCAAACAGGAAGAAGCTCCTGCGATGCACGGAGTTGGAGAAGCTGCTTCGGCAGCTTTCGACATGACAGTCAACCATTGCAAGTTGCTCATTCTTATCAGCAAATACGCGCAATGTGCGCTGACGGCGGAAGACAACGAGTCGTGGATAAGGCAGGTGCCGTTATGGGTCCTTATCTACGAGGGTATCATGAAAGAGGTAAGGCAGTGTTGAGTTAGGCAGTAACTAGATGACCTCAAACTATGCACTGATGACGTCTGGTTTGACACATGGCGTGTCGTGCAGGTTATACAGTTCGACTACGCTCCTTGTTCTGTCCTCCTCTCCTACGACGGGAGCTCACGGCGAATGTTCTTGAACATCTCACAAGAAGCCAAGTCAGCCATCGAGGACTTGTACACTCGATCTTGTCGCCTCCCACTCCTCGTCTGCTCTGACGTGTGACGGTCCAGGAGGGAACAAAGTCTCCTCAATGGGCTCAAGCTCTCGTCCGAGGACTATCAGTCAGTGACCTCCTTCCAGGTCCGTCCGGGGCCCGTCGGACAGTTGCGCAGCTGACCTGCTAGCTGGCAGGTCTCCCTCAAGGGGCTGCAGTTCCTGAAGACCCTCCCCAACAGTCTCTTTGAGGAGGTCAACCAGTTCCTTTACGCGCCGAATGCTCCGGTAGACCGTGGACGAAGAGAAAGTTTGAGGGACTGACTCGTTCTCCTGTTTCTTCTACTGCTCCTCCTGCTTCTTCTACTGCTCCTCCTGCTCTTCCTTCTGCTCCTCCTTCTGCTCTTACTCCTTCTGCTGCTCCTGCTGCTCCTCCTGCTGCTCCTCCTCCTGCTCCTGCTCCTCCTTCTGCTACTCCTTCTGCTCCTACTCCTGCTGCTCCTCCTGCTGCTCCTCCTGCTGCTCCTGCTGCTCCTCCTTCTTCTCCTTCTGCTCCTACTCCTGCTCCTACTCCTGCTGCTCCTTCTGCTGCTCCTTCTGCTCCTCCTTCTGCTCCTCCTTCTGCTCCTACTCCTTCTTCTCCTTCTGCTCCTACTCCTGCTGCTGCCCCTGCCCCTGCCCTGCCCCTGCCTGTGCTGCTCCTCCGCTCGTTCACCTCTATGTTTCTTCTTTCTCCTCCTCCTCCTCCTCCTCCTCCTGCTCCTCCGCCTCCTCCTCCTCCTCCTCCTCCGCCGCCTCCTCCTCCTCCTCCTCCTCCTCCTCTCCTCCTCGAACACAGCACTACGACTCCGAGCTCCTTGAGGTAATCAAGTCATCTCCTCCTCGACCGCCCTTGATCTTGTGCTCTCGTGACCAGGTCTTCTTCGACGGGGAGAATTTTCTGCTGCGCTCCAAGAGCGGCTTCCAGCGGATGTCAGATGTGACGGATGTCGAGGATGTGTCCTACGTTTCGAGCCCCTTCCTGCCTGACTCCCTCCGGACGCGCTGGGGAAAGCCGATGATCTCCAATGCTCACCGAGCAGCGGAGTCGAGCGCGGCAGCTGCGACTATACGGAAAGATCTCGGTAGAGGAAGAAGAGAGGAGAGGAGAAGAGGGAGGGAGGGAGGGAGGGAGGGAAGAGAGGGGAGGGAGGGGAAGGAACTTGGTAGAGGAGGGAGAGAGGGGAGAGGGGGAGGGAGGAAAGAAGGGGGAGTGAGACGAAGGAGGGAACGAGAAGGAGGGAGGAAGGAGGGTAAGAGGGGAGGATGGAAGGAAGGGAAAGGATCAGGAGGGGGGGAGGGAGAGAGAGGGGAGAGGCTAACTGGATTTGGTAGATGAGGCGATTGTTCTCTCTTACTGCACCGTCCTTGTTGGAGAATGGTTGGTGGAGGGGATGCTGAGGGATACTGAGAAGTTGACATTTATCCTGCTCCTCCTCTTCTCTCTTCTCTCCTGTTCCCTGCTTCTCTCCGACATTTTCCTCCGATATACTTCCCTCCTCTTTGTTCTTGCTGCCGCTGCCGCTGCCGCTGCTGCTGCTGCTGATGCTCCTCCTCCTCCTCCTCCTCCTCCTCCTCCTGCCCTTCATCACCCATCCTTTTTGGTCCTGTTCTCCCTTTTCTTCCTTTTTGTCTTCCCCTTTCCTCTTCTCTCTTCATCCTCAGGGTTCCGTTCGGTGCCAACAACATCGTAGCTCTCAACGAGCGACTCGGGGCGTTTGACAGATGTCAAGGAGGACTTTTTACAGCCTTGGTGGACAAACATCCGTCGGATACCAACTTCAAAGTGTGACGCGTTTAAGTGAAGCTTTTTAAAGCGATGATGATGATGATGATGATGATGATTGAGATGATGATGATTGTGATGATGATGATGATGATGATGATGATGATGATGATGATGATGATGATGATGATGATGATGATGATAACGAAGACGAAGACGAAGACGACGACGACGATGATGATGAGAATCGTGATCGTGGTGTCTGTGTTGTTGTCAGTTGCCGTGATGATGATGAAGTCAAGGTCATGATGTTGCTGCTGCCGCTGCTTCTTCCCTCGTTTCCCTCGTCCTCTCGCATGTGAGAAAGTTGGCAGGTTCCAGCAGGCTTGACATCCATCAGAATCATCGACTTCAACCTTGTCCGTTTCATCAACTTCGAGGCAGAAATCAACTTCCCCGAGGAGGATGGAATGGTTCAGATTGAGGTATATATTCTCCTTCCTCTCCTTCCTCTCCTTCTCCCCTCCCTCCTCTCCTCTCATTCGCTCTCTTGTTTTCTCTCCTCTGCCCTCCTCTGCTCTCCTGTCCCCTCCTTTCTTTCCCCCCTCCATCTCCTCCTCTCCTCGCTCTCCTTACACTCTTGTCTCCCTGCCCTCCCTCCTGTCTTTACCATCTTTCTCTGTCCGTCCCTGGTCCACCACGACCTTGCGAATATCCTCTTCCTCTCTCATGCCCTCCACTTCTGCATCCACTTCCTCTGTCTCCTCCTCGCTCTCCTTCCTTCTCCTTCCCGCTCATGACTAGGTCGCCAGCACTTTGGCATGCACATCAATGTTGACGGAACCATCTTCTACGGTACGAGGGGAGGGGAGGGGAGGTGGGAGGGGAGACAAGAACGAGGACGAAAGGAGGAAGAGCAGCAGCAGAAGCAGCAGCATCACGAAGGAATTGTGTGTGGGGGGAGGTTGGTGGGGGGAAGGAGGAGCAGGAGGATGAGGATGAGGAGGGGGAGGGGGAGGGGGAGGGGGAGGGGGAAAAGGAGGAGCAAGTGGGGGAGGGGGAGGGGTAGTGAGAAGAGGACGAGCATGAACAGCAGCAGGAAGGGATTTGTCTCTTGCTAACTCGTCCCAGGGCTCAAGGTAGAGGCGATCGTCGATCACGGAGCTTCAGATATCTCGCTCGACAACCTCTCGAGAGTCTTGGTGGACGTTCAGGTCAGGACCGTCTCCTGCGCCTGTCAACCCTCAGCTGCTCTACCCCAGCTGGACTCGAGCAAGATCCTCAACGACCTGCTCACCAACTACCAGCGGGGGCTGCTGGATGTTCTCTTCCTCGGAGACTCCGACCAGCGCAACAAGTTGGGCCTGCTGGGCAGGGTGCTGGGACTGAGTTATGTCAGGTACTGCATGGTAGTTGCCGACCGGATCCAGCCGAAGATGCCGGCGCAGGCGTATGTGGACAGAGACAAGTATGAGAACGAGCTGAAGCAGGTGAGCGAGAGAAGATGGAGATGTTTGTGCTGGTTGTGAACTGAGTTGTGGTGGGAAGAGTTGATGATGATAGAGATGATGATGATGATGGTGGTTATGATGATGATGATGATGATGATGGTTATGATGATGATGATGATGATGGAGATGATGGAGATGATGGAGAAGGAGGATTTAATGATGATGATTATAAAGGAGATGTTGCTGGTGATGATGATGGAAATGACGACAACGATGGTGGTGGTGGTGGTGATGATGATGATGATAGAGATGATGATGGTAATGTTCATGTTCAAGATGAATATTTGGTTACTCGCACTTAACACGTTTTTTTTTCCATCAAAGGTCATCGGCGATCTCTACATGGCGCACGACATCGGGCAGGAGGATTTGATTATTGTCGGCAAAGATGGTCTGATCCTAGTGGGTCCCAACGCGGTTGTCTTGGAACCCCT